GTGCCCAGTGCCCCTTCGGCGTCCCCCGTTACCTGAGGGCAGCGCTTGGGGTTTCCGGTTGTACCTGAGGGCCTCCCTTAGTGTCCCCTGTCTTACTTGGGGGTCCCTGCTCCCACCCAGAGGTCACCCTTGGGTCCCCAGCTGACCTTTGGGGTCTCGAATCGCATCTGGCGGCCGCCCTTTGGATCTGCAGACCCACTTGGGGGGGTCTCTGGTCCCAACCAGGGGCTGCCCTCAGGTGCCCTTTGGGGTCCATAATCGCACCTGGGACCACCTTTTGGGTCCACAGACACACTTGGGGGTCCCAGGGGCCACCCTCAGATCCTCGGTCCCTCTCTTGGGGTCCCTGGTTGCTCCTGGAGCCCACTCTGGGTCCCCCATCCTCACTCCCCACCCCCTGGCAGGACGCGGAGGTGGTGCGCACCCGGGACCCCCAGCGCCTGGCCCAGTGCGACGTGGTGGTGGACGTAGGGGGGGAGTACGACCCCAGGCGACACCGCTACGACCATCACCAGAGGTGAGACCTCCCCGCGCAGGATACCAGGGTCCCCCAGCTGCCAGGGGGGTCCCTCGGGGCTGACCCCTGTGGCCCTGCAGGTCGTTCGCGGAGTCCATGCGGAGCCTCCGGCCTGACAAGCCCTGGACCACGAAGCTGAGCAGTGCGGGGTTGGTTTATTGCCACTTCGGCTCCCAGATCCTCGCGGGGCTCCTGGGGCAGCCGGAGGACGGCCCCGTTGTGACGGCGCTCTACGATAAGGTACTGGGGGAACTGGGAGGCACTGGGAGGGAGGGGCTCTAACCCCACCAGTGCTGCCCAGCTTCCCCTGGTGGGGGTCACCCCATAAAACCGCCCTGGGGTGGGGGACCCTGTAAAAGAGGGGACCAGCTCTTGGGGTTCCCAGCACCTGAGGGCCACCCTTTGGGTCCCCTTGTCCTACCTGGGGCTCGTTGGTCCAACCCAGGGGCCACCCAGGTCCCTAGGTCCCGTTGGGAGTCCCTCATCCTACCTGGAGGCCACCCTTTGGGTTCCCTGTCCTACTTGGGCGTCCCTCATTCTACCCAGAGGCCACCCTTAGGTCCCCAGTCCCTCTCGGATCACACCTGGGAGCCACTCTTTGGGTCCCTCATCCCACCTGGGGGTCCCTGGTCCCACCTAGGGGCCACTGTTTGGGTCCCTAGATCCACTTAGGGGTCCTTGGTCCCACTTAGGGGTCACCCTTAGTTCCCTAGTCCCTCCTTGGGGTCCCTGGTCCCAGCCATGGGCCACCTTCTGTTCGCCAGTCACCCCTTGACATCCTCAGTCACACCCGGGGGCCACCTTTTGGGTCTCCAAACCCACCTGGGTGTCCCTGATCCCACCCAGAGGCCACCCTCAGGTCCCCAACCACCTCAGGTCATACCTGGAGGCCACCTTTTGGGTCCCCTGTCCTACTTGGGGGTCCTTCATCCCACCTAGGGGTCACCCTTAGTTCCCTAGTCCCTCCTTGGGGTCCCTGGTACCACCCAGGGGCCATCCTCAGGTCCCCAGATGCCCCACTGGGGTCCCTCATCACACCTGAGGGCCACCCTTTGGGTCCCCTTGCCCTACTTCGGGCTCCCTGGTCCCACCCAGGTGCCACCATCAGGTCCCTAGCCCCCACTGGGGTACTTAGTCACACCTGGGGGGCACCTTTTGGGTCCCCAGACCCTCCCCAGGGTCCCTGGTGCCACTAAGGGGCCACTTTCAGGTCCCCAGTCACCCTTTGGGGTCCCTCTTTACGACTGGGAGTCACCTTTTGGGTTCCCAGACCCATGTGGGGGTCCCTGATTCCACTCAGGGGCCACTCTCAGGTCCCCAGCGCCCCTCGGATCACACCTGGGAGCCACTCTTTGTGTCCCTCATCCCACTTGGGTGTCCCTGGTCCCACTTAGGGGCCACCGTTTGGCTCCCTAGACCCACTTAGGGGTCCTTGGTCCCACCTAGGGGTCACCCTTAGGTCCCCAGTCCCTCCCTGGGATGTTCCTGGTCCCAGCCAGGGGCAACCCTCTGGTCCCCAGTCACCCCTTGACATCCTCAGTCACACCTGGAGGCCACTGTTTGGGTCCCTAGATCCACTTAGGGGTCCTTGCTCCCACCCAGATGCTACCCTCAGGTCCCCAGCCCCTCAGGTCACATTTGGGAGCCACTCTTACGGTCCCTTATCCCACTTGGGGGTCCCTGGTCCCAGCCAGAGGCCACTCTCAGGTCCCCAGCCCCCTTCGGGTCACGCCCGGGGGCCACTTTTCGGTGGCCATTGGTGCGCAGTGGGGCTGCAGACGGGACTGACCCCCCCTTTTTGTGTCCCCCCCTCCTGCCATCCCCAGCTCTACGAGAACTTCGTGGAGGAGATCGACGCCATCGACAATGGCATCGCGCAGGCCGAGGGGGAGCCCCGCTACGCCCTCACCACCACCCTCAGCGCCCGCGTGGGCCACCTCAACCCCCGCTGGAACGACCCCGACCAGGACACCCAGGTGGGAACAGCGACATGGGGCCACCCCTCGTTTTGGGGACCACCCCCCCTGAGCCTGCTCCTTGTCCCCCAGGCGGGCTTCGAGCGGGCGCTGGAGCTGGTGGGGGGCGAGTTCCTGGAGCGCCTCGATTACTACCACCGTGCGTGGCTGCCGGCGCGGCCGCTGGTGGAGGAGGCCGTGAGGAGACGCTTCGAGGTAGCCATGGGCCCTTGGGGGGATCAGAAAGGTTTTTGGGGTGAGGGGAAGCCAGGGCCCCTGGGTACAAATCTCCCTGCATGGCCCGGGGTGCCACCTTGTGCCACAGAGCCCTGTGCGTGGCCGTTTACCCCCTCCTGTGCCTCTGTATCCTTAAATATGGCCCTGCATCCCTTCTGTACCCCTGTGTGCTTATATATGGCCCTACACCCCCTTCTGTGCCCCTGTATCCTTAAATACAGCCCTGCACCCCTATAAGCAGCCACCTATCCCCTTCTGTGCCCCTACATCCTTCCACATGGCCCTGCACCCCTCCTGTATCCCTGTACACCTGTGCATGGTCGTGGAGCACCTCCTGTACCCCTATATCCTTACATACGGCCCTGCACCCCTCGTGTACCCCTGTGTGCAGCCACACACCCCTCCTGTGCTCCTGTAGCCTTACATGCAGCCCTGCACCCCTCCTGTACCCCTATCTGCTTATATATGGCCCTACACCCCTTCCTACACCCCTACACATGGCCCTGCACCCCCTCCTGCATCCCTACATCTTTACATAGAGCACCTCCTGTGTCCCTGCATCCTTCCATATGGCCCTGCACCCCCCCGTGTCCCTATCCACCTACACATGGTTGTGCACCCCCTCCTGCACCCCTGTATCCTTACATACACCCTGCACCCGTCCTGTACCCCTACACCATAACATATGGCCATACTTTCCCCTCCTGCTCCCCATACCCCTCCACACAGCTGTGCACCCCCTCCTGTGCCCCTATACATGGTTGTGTTCCCCCTCCTGCACCCCTATTTCCTTAAATACAGCCCCGTGCCCCTCCTGTACCACTACACAGAGCTGTGCATCCCTCCTGCACC